CCAGATATTTTAAAATGAGGAAGGACACAAATATAAAGCATTTTCTTTGTTTTGCTATTAATTATTCCTTATGTGCATAGATGTCAAGGGTGGCCAGGCAGGCAAGAGTTTTCAGAAATCTGACTGGGATTAAGATGATTAGCTACAGGGTCCTAGTCTACAAAACTAGTGGTGAGAATGACTAAAGAGTTCGCTTTGCTTAAGCATTTTCAAGGCTTTCTAAAGAATAGCTTTGGCCATATTTTTTTAAGTTGTAAAATACTTAATTATGTATCTTGTTCAATCATAAATTTATTGTAGATGTGAGATGACTGGGAGCTCAGTTCAACCCAAGGAAGTTATTTTGTATTTTTCAGACAATAATTACTGTTTAAAGTTCTTCTATTTAAAGATAAAATCTGACTTCATATAGCTCTCAATCTTTGGCCCTATGCCTGCCTTGAAAAGCAAAGAAGAATGAGCTATCTTCTACAAAATAGTCCTTCAAAGATCTGAAGACAGTCCTAGTGCCCGTCCAATTGTGTCCCTGCTGCCCTGCCACCTGGTCTCCAGCTCCTTCCCTATGAGCACTAGTTCATCAACGTGTGCTTAAAATAAGGCACTCAGATTGAACTCCTGGTATGGCCCGAGGCGTACAAAATAGGAAGAACTGTAACTTTCTGTGATCTGAATGCTGAACATTCATTTGGTTAGGTAAAAGCAGCCACTAGATTGCTGTTTTAAGAACATCAACTTTATTAAAAAAAAAAAAAAAAAGAACATCAACTTTATGGTTTCTGGCAGAGAGACTTGTCTAATTCAATAGAAAAAAACCTTAAGCTTACATTTACAACAGATTAAAATATTCATGCATTTGGATACAGAAACACCATCTTATATGAATATAAATAATGGATTAACAGAAAAATTTTTGCACAACAGAAGCTAACCTGATTTTCACGTTACTATCTTGCAGTTACCTTTGCACGGTAACTTCCTGCACTAGGAAGCCTTTGGGGAATGTAATTTCCACTGCCTTGTGATGTTAATTTGAGGTAATTATCATAAGTAGACTAAAAAAAAGTTTTGCATATTATTTGTTCTTGTGGGAGCCCAGGGCTGTTGGCAAGTCCGTATACAGGAGAGGCCAGAGGAGAGGAATATTCAGAATTTAGAAACTTCTTTAACAGCCGTGGATCATAAGGTTTCAAAGCTTTTAATGCTTCCCAGCCTTTGCCTGGTAAAACCTTCCTCACAGATGCTGGGAAGCCCGCCTGAAGGGCTCTGAGAGCTCTCTGCACTTGATATTTTTAATGCACTTGAATTTTCAGGTTTTCCAAGGCAGGATGGGTAAGAATAAAGCCGCTTCTCCAGTCCATTTGGCTATTTAACAGTTCTGTCAGGTAAAGAGGGGAAAATAGGTAATTTTTTCCCCTTAACACTTCCAGGACCACTATGAATTTGGGTTACTTGCTGAGCTTGTGTGGTAGGAAGAAATAGGAAACCCTGGTGTCCATGGTTCTGTGATCTCATCTGACCACCCCCTAGGAGGCCTCCTTGAGCCATTTCCAGGGGGCATTTTCACTGTTGGCTTGGCCTCCCACCCCTCTTTTTTTTTTTCCTTAAAGATTTTATTTATTTATTTAATAGAGAGAGAGAGAGAGAGACAGTGAGAGAGGGAACAGAAGCAGGGGGAGCGGGAGAGGGAGAAGCAGGCTTCTGGCCCGGCAGAGAGCCCGATGCAGGGCTCGATCCCAGGACCCGGAGATCATGACCCAAGCCGAAGGCAGTCGCCCAACGACTGAGCTACCCAGGTGCCCCCCTGGCCTCCCTTTTTGAGACCAAAATCAGAACAGAAGAGCTTATGGGTGCTCTTAATAGTAAGTGACTTGCTGTTTTTCCAGACACCTGTCCCTGTGCCAGGGAATCTAGGCTGGGGGCTTCAGTGCAGCAGTCACCAAGTAGGGGGGCTGCAGAAAGAGAAGGAAGAGATTGCTCAGGAGAGTCTGGGAATTCAAGAATGTGGGAGCAGTGATTGCAAGAACTATTCACTAGTTTATTTATTTATTTATTTTTAAAGATTTTACCTATCCATTTATTTGAGAGAGAGGGAGCGAAAGGGGGGGGAGGGGGTGGGAGGAGCAGAGAGAGAGGGACAAGCAAACTCCATGCTGAGTACAGAGCCCTATGAGGGGCTCAATCCCAGGACCTGAAAATCATGACCTGAGCCGAAGGCAGACGCTTAACCAGCTGAGCTACCCAGGCGCCCCTATTCACTAGCTTTAAAGAGTAAGTCTGGGGGCGCCTGGGTGGCTCAGTCGTTGGGCGTCTGCCTTCGGCTCAGGTCGTGGTCCCGGGGTGCTGGGATCGAGCCCCGCATCGGGCTCCCTGCTCAGCGGGGGGCCTGCTTCTGCCTCTCCCACTCCCCCTGCTTGTGTTCCCTCTCTAGCTGTGTCTCTCTCTGTCATATAAATAGGTAAAATCTTTAAAAAAAAAAAAAAAGAGTAAGTCTGTGACTGGTACAAACTTAGGTACAGACTTTCTATCTACAGGGTACTTTGGCAAAACACAGCAAAAGCTTTAAAAGTGTGCCTGCTCTTTTAAACCAGGAATGTCCCTTCTAGAAGTTCATCAGAAGAAAATACAAACAAATAAACCTCCTCATGTCCACAGAAGTTCAGTTGAAAGGATAAGTCATAGTGGCATTGATTAAAATTTTTTATCAAAACTTAAAAATAGGAGAATGTGGGGCACCTGGGTGGCTCAGTCAGTTAAGCGTCTGCCTTCAGCTCAGGTCATGATCCCGGGGTCCTCAGATTGAGCCCCACATTGAGCCCAGCATCGGGCTTCCCACTCAGCGGGGAGTCTGCTTCTCCCTCTCCCTTCATCCCTCCCCCCTGGTTGTGCCTCAACCCTCCTCAAATAAATAAATACAATCTTAAAAAAAAAAAGGAGAACGTTCCATTTCATTAGGAACTCAGAAGCGTCTTGGCTCTGAATTGTCACACTCAACAAGGATAACAACAAACCTGCCAACTACGTATTTGGTGAAAACATGATGCAACCTCCAAAGTGTTGTTAAGAGTTGCCAAAGATGAAAAAAAGCAGAAGAGCTGGTGAAAAACCTTGAGGGAGGAAGGGATATACAGCCTCAGAGAGTTCAGAAATCTCCAGCAATTATTGCCTTTCAGAAGGGGAGGATCCTACTGCGAAAGAGAACTACAAGTACAAGACCTAAACTGAACAAAACGAGATTGCTGGGAACAGTGGAAAGTCTTGGAAAGCACCAAAGGGGGGAAGAAAAAAACTTTTAAAAGTACTCTTAGAAACAAAGGCCGTAAAAAATTCTGGGAGACAGATGGACAGAAAAGCTCTCCTCACTCAAACTCTGAAATCCAGAGGGGGTGACTTCCCACAGAAGCCACGTCAGGGGTCCATCACTGGGGTAACACTGAGAGCCCCCCTGGTCCCACCTCTCCACTCCTCCACCAGTTTTCTAGGGAAAAAATCACTACCACAAACAGCAGACCAACACCTGCAAGACACTCAAAGGAAGAAAAGTATGGGCCAATAATTTTACCCACCAAACTGATCTTCAAGTATAAAGCTTAAAGACAAACGTCTTAAAACCTGTAAGAAATCAGGGAATATTATTTTCATGAGCCCTTTCCAAAAAACCTCCTAGAACTATAAAAGAGCAGTCACAGCACCACTTGGCGAGCCTGATGAAATCAGGGTAAAAGGACCTTCCTTGAGCACTGAATGTATTTAACTGTAGAAGTAAGAGTAAAACAAATATAGAGATCAGGGTGGCAGATCAGAATGCAAATGTTACATGCCCTAATAATGCAGAAATTTCTCATTACTAATAAAACACTGGAGAGAGAGAAGATAGGAATAAGAATGAGCTTACTAATTGCCTCAAATCAACAGATTCAAAGGAGAGTATTTAAAATTTCCAAATCAAGTAGAAGCTTAAGCATATTTAATATAAACACTAAGACTGATAATACTATTGACTGTATGAAGGATTGGATTACAAGATAATTTTTTTGTGTTCATAGTAGGGAATCAACGTATTTTACAAAGGTAACTTCTAGAACAAAATTACAAACCTTCCTAAATATCAAAACTACATTAAGAAGAAAGGGAAATACAAAAATACATTAGGAAAACACAACATAATGACAGAACTGAGAACAAATACATCTGTCATCTCAATAAATATAAATGAGTTTAACTCATTTTTTTTTTTAAAGATTTTATTTATTTGACAGAGAGACACAGTGAGAGAGGGAACACAAGCAGGGGGAGTGGGAGAGGGGAAGCAGGCTTCCCGCTGAGCAGGGAGCCTGATGCGGGGCTCGATCCCAGGACCCTAGGATCATGACCTGAGCCAAAGGCAGATGCTTAACGACTGAGCCACCCAGGCGCCCCTTAACTCATTTTTTAAAACGGTTTTCAAAATGGAATTCAAAGTCCAATCCAACTCCAGAGTAGGTACACATCTAAGACAAAATGATCTAGAAAGGTTAATAATGAAAGGATGGGCAAAGAAAGGTGTACCAAAAAATTGCAAACATTAGGGGCGCCTGGGTGGCTCAGTCGTTAAGCGCCTGCCTTCGGCTCAGGTCATGATCCCAGGGTCCTGGGATCGAGCCCCGCATCGGGCTCCCTGCTCGGCGGGAAGCCTGCTTCTCCCTCTCCCACTCCCCCTGCCTGTGTTCCCTCTCTCGCTGTGTCTCTCTCTGTCAAATAAATAAATAAAATCTTTAAAAAAAAAAAAAAATTGCAAACATTAAAAAGCTTAGTATCTGACAACATAAAATTCAGGATCAAAAGCTTTAGCCAAGATAAAGAGAAGGACTTTTTAATGCTAAAGACTATAATTCATCATGAAAATTTAAGCTATGAATATCTATGCACCAAATAATAGAGCAAGAACTTTCATGTAATGGAAAACGTAGAGATACAAGGAAATTTAGCCAGAGACACACTAATTATACAAGACTTTGATTTACCTTTTCCAATCCAAAACAGATCCAGTGGCCAAAATTAAATGATGATCTAGAAGTCTAAACAACACAATCCAAAAGGTAGGTGTTATTGATATGCATCAAACATCGTGCCCTGAGAATAGAGAACATACTTTCTTTTCAAGTGCTCTGGAATATTCATACACACACACTTGCATATACACAAAAGATTATATATTAGGCCACAAACCAAACTTCATTAAATTCCCACAGTAAAAAATAATACAGATAGCATCTTATAATACCAACACAACAAACATGAACATTTATAACATATTCAGAAAACAAACAGAAATTGTCCTTCTCTTTGGATACATATGGGGGGGTCTATATTAAATAACTCCATGATCAAAAGGAAAATATAAATTCAAAACTGCAGAATTTCTAGAAAGCAACAATAATGAACATACCATATAGAAGCATCTATGAGTTCATCTAAAGTAGTACTCAAAGAAATATTCATTACCTTGAATAATTATATCAACATAAATGAAAGAAAAAAAATGGATTAAACTGGCTCAAAAGCTAGAAAAAGATTTTTTTAAAAGATTTTATTTATTTATTTGCCAGAGAAAGAGAGTGAGAGAGAGCACAAGCAGGGGGAGCGGCAGGCAGAGGGAGAAATAGGCTCTGATGCGGCACTTGAATGCAGGACCCTGGGATCATGACCTGAGCTATAGGCAGACGCTTAACCAGGCGCCCAGCTACCCAGGCGCCCCATAGAAAAGATTTTTTAAATAAGCCAAAGGAAAGCAAAAGGAAAAATTAATAAAGATAAATACAGAAACAATCAGTTAATACAACAAAACTATAGTGGAACTTACTAATAAACAAGTTTGTTCTTAGGAAGTTCAATTATGTTAACTAACTGGAATTTAAATAAAAACTTGAGAAAAGAAAAAAATAGAATTCAATGAATTAGGTAAGCCATAAACTAAATTAATCTTAAAAAAAAGAGAGGGAGGGGCGCCTGGGTGGCTCAGTTGTTAAGCATCTGCCTTCGGCTCGGGTCATGATCCCAGGGTCCTGGTATTGAGCCCCGCATCGGGCTCCCTGCTCCGCGAGAAGCCTGCTTCTCCCTCTCCCACTCCCCCATGCTTGTGTTCCCGCTCTCGCTGTGTCTCTGTCTGTCAAATAAATCAATTAAATCTTTAAAAAAAAGAGAGAGAGAGGGGTTGCCTGGGTGGCTCAGTTGGTTGAGCATCTGCTTTCGGCTCAGGTCATGATCCAGGGGTCCTGGAATCGAGCCCCGCATCAGGCTCCCTGATCAGCAGGGAGTCTGCTTCTTCCTCTGACCTCCCCACTCTCATGCTCTCTCTCTCTCTCACTCTCTCTCAAATAAATAAAGTCTTTAACAAAAAAAAAAAAAGAGAGAGAGAAAATGTACAAATACCCAAAATAAAAAATTACAAGTGGGAGGGAAATAGTCACACAAACATTAGAAAATAAAAAACAAACAAAAAATCATGAGAGAGGATGCCTGGGCCTCTCTCATGAGGTTAAGAGTTGGTTAAGAGTCTGCTTCTCCCTCAACCCCTCCACCCCTACCCTGGCCCCCCCACTTGTGCTCTCTTTCTCTAATGAATAAACAAAAATCTTTTAAAATAAAGTCTCTCCCCTCCCTCTGTCCCTCCCTATCCCTGTGCGCTCTCTCTCTCTGAAATAAACAAATATTAAAAAAAAAAAAACCTGTAAGAGACTACCTTATACAATTTTATGCAAATAAATTTTAAAACCTATAAAAATGTACAATTTTATCAGAAAACCAAAACAGACTGATTTGCATAAAATGTGTTAAAATAATTTGAATAAAAATAATATGCATATATATATCCAGATATAATATTGTAAATATAATAAATAATTTTAATAAATAATTTTGTCAAAATAATTTGACAAAATTTGTCAAATTCTTACCCCTCCTTCCCAGAAAACCCCCAAAATTCCAGGACCATTGTTTTATAGGTGAATTCTACTAATCTACTAACCTTTAAAGAACAGATGATTCCAGTGATTTTTAAAATGCTCCTTAATTGAGACGCCTGGGTAGATCAGTTGGTTAAGCTTCTGCCTTCCGCTTGAGTCATGATCCTGGAGTCCTGGGATCGTGTCCCTGGGATTAAGTCCCCCGTCGGGCTCCTTGCTCAGTGGGGAGCCTGCTTCTCCCTCTCCCTCTGCCTTCCGTTCCCCCTGCTTGTGTTCTCTCTTTCTGTCTCTCTTTGACAAATGAATAAATAAATAATCTTTTTAAAAATTTAAATAAAAATAAAATAAAATGCTCCATAATCTAGGAAAGAATAAAGACTTACAATTTCTTTTCATAAAGCAAATATAAGTACATTGAAACCAAACTATAATAAGAATTTTTAAAAGTAGGACAATGTCATTTATAAATATCAGTGCAAAAATCCTAAATCAAAAATATTAATTTATTTTTAAGATTTTATTTATTTATTTGAGAGAGAGAGAGAAAGAACAAGCAGTGGGGATGGGTAGAGGGAGAGGTAGAAGCAGGCCCAGGAAGACTAGTGCAGAACTCGATCCCAGAACCCTGGGATCATGATCTGAGCTGAAGGCAGATGCTTAACCGACTGAGCCACCCAGGCAACCCTAAATAAAATTTTAGCAAGTAGAATCCAAAAGCACATTGGAGGGGCACCTGGGTGCCTCAGTCGTTGGGCATCTGCCTTCGGCTCAGGTCATGATCCTGGGGTCCTGGGATCGAGCCCCGCATTGGGCTTCCTGCTCAGCGGGAAGCCTGCTTCTCCCTCTCCCTCTGCCCCTGCTTGTGTTCCCTTTCTTGCTGTGTTTCTCTCTCTGTCAAATAAATAAATAAGATCTTAAAAAAGAAAAAAAAAGCACATTGGAAGAATAATAAATTCTGACCAAATGGAGTTTATTCTAGAAATGGAAATGAAGTTCAATATTAGAAGATCTACTAATATAAATCATATTACTAGTTCTAAATATAAAATTATATGATTGTATTTATAGGTACTGAAAATGGATTTGATAAAATTAAATACGTAGTCTTTTTTTTTAATAAAGATTTTATTTATTTGACAGAGACACAGGAAGAGAGGGAACACAAGCAGGGGGAGTGGGAGAGGGATAAGCAGGCTTCCCGCTGAGCAGGGGGCCTGATGCGGGGCTCGATCCCAGGACCCTGGGACCATGACCTGAACCAAAGGCAGACGCTTAACGACTGAGCCACCCGGGTGCCCCTAAATATTTATTCTTGATTAAAAACAAGACACTCAGCAAAATGGGAATCAATGGATATTTCCTTAAAACGAAAAAGTATGTTTTTTTTTCCACAGCAGAAAAGCAACAATTTACTTAACAGAGACTCAGATATTTAGGATATGTTAGACGTAGTAACCAATGCAATGTAGACACAAGAAATAAAATTGTGGTAAAATAAACTGAAGAGAGCTCAGTATGGAGCCTGCTTCTCCCTCTCCCACTCTCCCTGCTTGTGTGCACGCGCAGGCACGCACTCGCTCGCTCTCTCTGTCAAACAAATAAAATCTTAAAAAAGAAACTGAAGAGAAACATTTTAGATAATTTTCTAGAGTATCTTCTAGAATTCTCTTAAGGTTCAGGGCCACAATCAATAGAACTGTTGAGGAAGGTTCTAGAAGATAATCTGAGGAGAAGGAGGAAAGAAGAGGAGCAGAGGGAGGAGGAAGAGGAAGAAGGTGATGAAAGAGAAAAGTGTGGTGGCTTTCAAATACGTTCACAAATTCTTTGACACTCCATTCAAAAGATGGAACCTGGGATGCCTGGGTGGCTCAGTCGTTAAGCATCTGCCTTCGGCTCAGATCATGGTCCCAGGGTCCTGGGATCGAGGTCTGCATCAGGCTCCTTGCTCAGTGGGAAGCCTGCTTCTCCCTCTCCCACTCCCCCTGCTTGTGTTCTCTCTCTCTCTCTCCATCAAAATAAATAGATAAAATGTTGGTTTAAAAAAAAAAAAGATGGAGCCTAATTCTCTTGCCTCAATTGTGTACTGGGCTTAGTGACTTACTTCTAATGAACAGAGTAAGTTACAAGTGATGGTATGTGACCTATGAGTCCATGTTATAAAAAATATTGAGGCTTCTGCCCTGCTCTTCCTTGGTTCACTCACTCTGAAGAGAGACCCCTGCCCTGTGAGGGAGGACACACAAGCAGCCCTGTGGACAGGTGCATGTAGTGAGAACCAAGATCTGCAGAAAATAGCCATCTAAGGGGTGGCTCCTCTAGCCCTAACAAGGCTTCACATAAATGATGCCTCAGCTAACAAATGTATTGAAACACCATTAGAGACCTTGAGCCAGAACGATACTTAGCTCAAGAGCTAAGCCACTCCTGAATTCCTGCTGTTGTTTTTTTAATTTTTTATTATTTTTATTTTTTATTTTTTAAAGATTTTATTTATTTATTTGACACAGAGAGAGAGCACAAGCAGCGGGAGTGGGAGAAGCAGGCTCCCCGCTGAGCAGGGAGCCAATGGGGGGCTCAATCCCAGGACCCTGGGACCATGACCCAAGCCAAAGGCAGACATCTAACTGATCGGGCCACCCAGGTGCTCCTGTTGTTGTTTTTTTTTAAATTATTTATGTATTTATTTGAGAGAGAGAGAGAGAGTGTGTGTGTGTGCCTACGTGTGTGCATAAGAGGGGCAGGGGTGGGCAGAGGGAGAGGGAGAGAGAAACTTAAGCAGACTCCTTGCTGAGTACAGAGCCCGATGAGGGGCTTGACCTCACAACCCTGAGATTGCGACCTGAGCCTAAACCAAGAGTCTGACACTTAACCAAATGCACCAAGTGCGGGCGCCCCCTGAATTCCTGTTTTATACAGGTTGTTAGATAATAAATGTTTATTTTTTTTTAAGTCATTAGGTTTTGGAGAAACTTGTTATGCAGCCATATAAGTAATACAGAGGGCAAAATAACATCATTTTCAGATTGACAAAAAGTGAGCTTGTCACCAGCAGGTTTTTACTAAGGAAAATACTAACAAAATTTTTCAGGTAGAAGAAAAATGATACCACATGGAAGGTAAGAGATAGAGAAGGAATGAAGAACAAATGAAGTAGTAAATATGTATATTAATCTAATGTTTCATTGGGTTTTTAAATACACAACAACAATAAGACCTAAATAAATGGGGAGATATACCATGTTTATGGATTCCAAGATTCAATATTAAGATGTTAATTTTCCCTAAATCAATCTATAGATTCAATACAACCCCAATTAAAAACCCAGCAGCCTGTTTTTCTAGAAACTGACAAGCTAATGCTCAAATCTGTATTAAAATGCAACAGACTAAAATAGCCAAAAGGGGCTCCTGGCTGGCTCAGTCAGAAGAGCATGTGACTCGGGGCGCCTGGGTGGCTCAGTTGTTAAGCATCTGCCCTCAGCTCAGGTCATGATCCCAGGGTCCTGTGATCAAGCCCCGCATTGGACTCCCTGCTCAGCGGGAAGCCTGCTTCTCCCTCTCCCACTCCCCCTGCTTGTGTTCCCTCTCTCGCTGTGTCTCTCTCTGTCAAAGAA